TTCATAGAGATTTCCAGAGAGCATACGTAGAGGTGGCATTAAAAATTTAGTAGAAATTTCGTGTTTGGTTACCGGATTTTCATTTTCATTTTTTTATTTTTGCTTTTGTTTTTGTTTTTGTTTTTGTTACTCTGGTAACCTTTTTTTAATCAGAAATATGTCTGTGGCTTCGATGTTTCACTGCTAAAACACAATTTCAGAACTTAGAAGCACGCTAAAAATGTGTGTCAAGGTTCATGTCATTAAAAAAATAACTATTGAATTGATTAAACATTTTGGGGTTATAGTACTAATAGCAGCTAGTGATCCAATTAGGATTTTTGATTAAAATCGAGTTGCCAGTGATTTTATACATGATTATCATGTGGCATATACGTTGAGTGTCATTTAGTTTTAGCATTGAAATTTATTAATTTTTCTATTGAAAATCTCAAACCTTAGAGAATATAATGAAATATGCTATAAATAATACAACCACAAAAAGAATAATACTAAAATTTAATAATTAAAAATAAATCTAATTAGTTAATTCCATAATTCTATAGCTGGATTGCATCTACTTTACTACATTATCGGAATGCCAATTTCAATACACTTCTATTACTTCTAAATCTACTTCGTTGTATTTGTACACACAGATTTAGTGATTTATACATTTACATACTTTTTAATTTAATTTAGTTAATATATGATTTATGATAATAATCACTAGATATGCAATGGCAGAATCCTTCATCCATTTCCTGACACCATGGGTTACTTTATATATCTAATAACACTGATTTTTTTAAATCAAAGTAATCCAGTGTAAATGAGTGCTTCATAATAATTTTTTTTTAGACTTTCTAGTATTAGTACATGAGTATTATTTCTATTAAACTTATGGAAAAGTGTCATTTTGATATAAGAGACATTGACATTAGAGATCACACGGCGATCACCATAAATGTCCGTTTGGTTAAATAACAAAAACCAATTATCTGGTGCTTAAATCGAGATCAAACTCTAGAAATACTGGCTTATATGCATAATAGTGTTCAATGGAAACACTACGCGTTCACTGTCTGACCTTTTGGAATTAATTTGCTAAGAACGATCGAACCGGAGAAACGGATCAACATTGCTGTGATTTTATGTGAAATTATAATTCACTAATATTGGTCTCTTCTGTAAGTTTTTATTTCCCACTTTGATGTTTCAAAACCTCTAGAATAGATTGAACTAACGAAGATTTAGTGAGCGGAACACTTATTTTTACACACTTTTAACCATTACAGTGTCGCTTTTGACCAATTTTATATGAAATTAGTTATTCACTAATTATTTCAAGTTGTCTTTATGGCCGCTTTTCCCTAAATATTGGCAGAAAGAAGTTAAGTGATGTGACATTCATAGATGTCGCTGCGCCAAGAATATTGCTGAAACTATTTCCACATTACACAATCTAAACACATTTGATATAGAAACGTCTTGAATCAATCATATTTTACCGGATATGTCATTTATAGATGTCGGCATTATAGATGGCAGTTATAGTTGTTAAGTTTTTTTTTTTTTGTGGCTCTATACTCCACTAGGGAAGAAGGACAGCAGTAAGTAAGTAAGTTGTTGCGTTTTTTTGGAATCAACTGCAACTGATCAGGGACAGATTATTTATTCAAGTAATAAGTCAATGAAATCTAAATAAGCAGAATTAGTAAAAAGCATTAATATTTGTCTGAAGAGGCAAATAAATAAACCATTTTATATAGAAAACGAAAGTGAATACACGTGGAACTAAACATATTGACGAAAAGGGTCAAGGTGAGACAAGGGCACACGAACATGCATGTTTCGAAAATGTAGAGTACGAAATTTCAGTGTACACCTTATTTCGAATTTGGATTCCTATTCACTCTATTGTTGCTCAAAGAATCTAATTTTATATAGTATATCGAAACTTAGCTCCGTTGCGAACACTGTCATGTGCCATGCAAATATCTATTACTTAAAATTTCATTTCCTAGTAAATTTAGTGCATGTTCCGCTTTGAATAGTTAAACAAACAGGTTGTAAATGGCAGTTAAGTAAGTTCAGCAACAAAGTAGTAACGAAAAGCCGACCTAGGAAGTATTTACATGCAACATTCAACTTCAATGTGGCCACAATGTCGAGGACGAATTGTTTCTAGTACAATATCAAAACCAACAACAATAACCACAGCGATAACAATGAAAGGAAAAGGTGCCATAACTGAAACAAAATGAGTCTAACGAACAAAAATGGGGATTTGCATTGTACACGTAAAATCGCGTGTCTCACCTTGATACTCGCTACATGTGGAAATTGTTTTAAAATTCTGACTGACAATGGCAATGAGTCGAGGTAATAAAAGCACCTAAAAGCAAGAGACTATGAAGACGATACAAAAACGAATCAAAATACAAAATATACCAAAAAAAACCTCGACTACGGTTAACGCCTACAAAATACTTACACTACCGAACTTCCGATCCTAAAGCAGCCATGAGCGACCGCCTATAAAATGCAAATAACTTTGGCGTTGTGTATCGTACACTGTTAAGCGGTAAACGATAAGTACACCAGGCACTTAGCATTACTTATGGGTATGTGTATTAAGACAAGAATAACACTACAATCGCAACAACAGCAACAACAACAACAACAACAACAACAAAGTCTGCAATAACTATAGAAAGCAAGGCAAACAGGAAATTGGCCACTTCGCTAATGTGGCAACCATTACCAACTTCATGGATGTTCAACTTCGTTTTAACATCCCGTTTCACTTTCACGTTCGCCTGCATGTTTATGGTCCTCTTCAACTTTTGCATCAAACTAAAAATTTGCTTTTATTACTTTTGCTTTTTACGATTGCGTCGATATTTGCTTTTATGCCTGAAATTATTGGCAACACTTTTTTAGGGTTTACACGCGTTGGTGTCCTCGTTTCAATGTTGGGCAATATGGCGTTGTCTTAATGTTGCACCACTACAGTTTTACGATGTTCGTTTTGCAGCACTGAAACCTGCTTACATTCCTGTCTTTCACATTCTCCATATATCATTGTGGCAAGTATATTGCAAATTTCATCACTAAAAGTGTAAAATCATAAAATTTTGAAAATGTGAAGAAAATTGTGAACTTTTGCTCATTCTGCTTGGATGGACAGACAACAATATGTAAATTTAAATTTGGCAATAAAATTTGTCAAATTTCTTTATTGGTTTCACTTTTAAAAATATATTTATTTTCAAATTATTTTTCTATAATATTAATGCCTTACTTTAAGTCTTACTTCTTGATAAAAAAGACGATAACATAGAAAAGGAAGTCACATCTCGCGTGCGAAAACCCCTACGTACATATACGAGTAGTATATACAAAAGCATATAGAACAGATAATGCAATATTTATTAGTTTTGTAACTAATTCGTTACAATAAGTATATACGTTTGGCAGATACGTACAAAGAGTATGACAATTCAACAAACGCATATCTGCGTTTATCTGCCATATCAGAGATTTTTTGCCTGGCAATTGTGTCATCTTTGCAGTATCCATTTATTGCGTTGCCAACTAACGAATTGAGTTAAAAAACAAAATGGACGAGACGGATATGTGAACTTCATTTGAGCTACTGTAGTAAAGTAACAGCACAACTTTTCACACCTAATTGAGAATATTTAACCCAAACATTAAATCCGTTTTGCACCATTTGAAAAGTAATTACAGTGATTGGAAAGCCCTCTAAACCTTCATTCATCTATTCCCGGCCAATTTTCGGGATTCCATATAGAGAAAAAAGATTCATGCTCAAATAGCAGTAAATTAGAAACAAAAAGGTTTTACAAAAAACGGTTACTTATGCCTCCTCATCCCTTCATGGTTCTACATAAGTTTTGCACATATTTCATAGATTAGTGATTATTTGACTATATTAATACAGCTTCCTCACAGGATAAACCAATATTAATATAACTCAAAGTATGAGCTATAGAGATCAAAATATTCCCATAGTAAGGCAAGCGTGTCGTAAAAGACGATTAAAGGCCATTAGACACCCATCCAATACTGCTTGGAATATAAATGATAATGAGTGAGTTTCTCTTGCATCATTCAAAAGAAATTTGTAAATCTGGTACCATGGAATCAAATGCTATTCTGACTCATATAGTTTAGTTTATGTGCTGAGACTAACGTGCTGTTTGTGGTTAAAACCCTAAATTGTTGTATACATATAGTTGTATATATATTGTTTTATTTGATGTGGATTAGTATTTTTCAACTTTGTGCTATAAATCATAGAATAGCAAAGGTGTTGGATAAGCCTAGTTTCCTCAAAAGCAAGAAATTATATCCGAACGTATAATTCAATTAGAACGAAGGAATTCCTAGGATTTTCAATGGAAGGTTTATCAGAGGTTTACTCCACTCCAAAGAAATCTAACCTAACGTAATCTTTTAACATCGGTTTAGATGGTTATATAAATGGAACCTTTTAAAACTGCAGAAAAACTCTTAAAAAAATTATAGCAAAAACTTTTACTCTAAAACACTAATTCTAACTAACTTTTGAAAAATTATAGCAAGAAAAACATTTATACTGGGCTATACGTATAGCTTGGTCCACTGTCCTTTAAATTAGTACAAAGCAACTTGTTGATTTGGATCGTTTTTTGATATATTATTACAGCAACAGTATTGGACGTGATTTAGCTTTTTGAGTAAGTAGCTGTTATTACCAACGAGTGACAATGACTATCATAAAAGTTATGGGTCAAATGATAAAGAGAAAATTACCCAGTTAGTGCATAGGGACATCCCTAACTAAAATTATTTTATTCAGCTAATGGCTCAAAATCATATTATAACAATAGGCCAACTTGTGTTGAATTTTTTTTATTTACAACAAATGAACTATTGTAGAAATATTATATTTATTTATATATTAATATTTGATACTAACATTGCTTGTCACGCAAATTATTTGCTTACAGTGTGAACCAGGTCTGGGTGCCAGTGTTATGTACAACCTCCTCTACAACAGACCGCAGAAACTTATGCTATTGGCTGGCTGCAGCACAGTCTGTACAACAGTCGCTGAAGCAGCAAAAATGTGGAATTTGATTGTGGTAAGCTAAACCCATTTTTTTAAATGAAAATTAAATTATTTAAATTTATTGATAATAATTAATAGTTTTAATTAGTTAATTAAATATATACGCAGCTAGCAGTTAAATATGAATATGAATAGAACACTCCATGCATTTCATTTTATTTTCACTAATTGACTTCATTAGTTTATAGAAAAATTTTATACATATTTTTTTGTGGTATTCTAGTGCAGAATATTACAATTATAGTGAGAGGGTAAGAAGACCACGGAGAAGTTGGAAAAATATTATTAATAGCGATATGCGTTCCATGAGTGCAAACGTAGAGATAACCCATAATCCTTAATAGAGCGTGGTGGCGTATTCTAAATGCACATTTTTTATTTCGGTACGCCATCTTGTTCGGTCTTGCACAGTACGTATCACTTCACTCATCGTTTTTCCAAAAAGAGTTTGTAATTGATCCACCTTACGTGTTGGCGACCGTTCTCGACGTCTGCATTTGATTACATTTCCCTCTACAATCTGGTGTTCCAGAGTTTCTGATCGCTTCGCTACGTGCCTACAGTAAGTTAAATCTTCGTTGGAAATCATTTTCATAAGGATGGTCTTTACTCCTTTACTCCACAAATCTTTGAGTACAAAGACTTTGGTTCGGTTAGCAGTCCATGGAATTCTTAACACTCTTCTATAGATCTATAGTTCGAAGACTTTGAACTGTTCAATTTTTTTATGGTCGATATTTCGACTGCATATGTAGCTATAGTAAATATCAAGGCGTTTACAAGACGAAGCTTTGTAGATTTTGTTATGTGTTTATTTTTTCAAATTTTTATAAGTTTTGTTGTTATAGATCTTGCCATTGTTAAACGACAGAGAAAGAGAATGGAAATTTAAATTGATTTTGCAACATCACTCAAATTATACACTAACCCATAATAGCTGAAAACAAAAGGTTAGGTTAGGTTAAATAAGTCTATATTGGCGATTTCAAGGGATTCACTAAAGCCTATAGGTCCATTTTATAACCGTATAATTGAAATCTTAGTGATTAGAAGCACTTATTATCTTTGGCAGCTAAAAACAATACTTCAATGTCTTTTTCGATACCACAATGGCCCTTATGGTCAGTAAATGCTTAACTTTAAAGTTTGGTACCTAAAGTAATAAATGCGAAAGCATTGATGTACTTAAGAACGCTATTCTAAATAACTAAATAAATAAATAAATAAATAAATAAATAAATAAATAAATAAATGTAACTTAATCTTTCCTATGCAGTTATTTCTAAAATTTTAATTTTTTAAAAAGAAATTCGATTACTTTCAAAGACCACTGATGATGAGTGCTTGACAATAGTCTAAGCAGCTTTGTATGGTCAAACAAATTTCAATAAATTAACTAAATTTTTGTTCTTGCCTTTTCTTTTCTATTCGACAATTTCTTTAAAAAAATAGCTTTAGTTATTAGCAGTTATTAATAGTTATCTATAAAAATTTTGATTTTATTAAAAAAGTTTTAATTACATTTCAAAATTTTTTCTGTTGGTTTAGTGATATTCTAATTAAAATTTAGTATTCTGTTAAGTTGCAGTTAAATTGGGTCACCTGTAATAAAAATGCTCATACGCCATGTGGTCCAAATACTACGAACATTCACATATTCTAAAAAACATATAATAAATTATGTTATTAATTTAATTATTATTTTAATTAATATATCCAAAGTTTGTCTTTTAATTTAATTTTGAGACATTATAAAAAGAGGATATATGTTACCAGTTATTAATTTTTATATATATATATATACACATATTATTTTACTATATAATGTATGTTTGTATATTTTTATATAAAATAACAAACTTTTAAGCAAAATTTAAAAATTTTGTATTTAAGCTGCTCCTTTTTAGTGCCAATTATTCAGGTGATTGATGCACAACTTTAGCTCTGTGTATTTATATCAAAGGAAGCATATATATTTTTAGCACTTATTTTACTTAATATTTTTGCTGTATCTGTATCTGTATCTGTATCTTTGGTCTTCATGGATTGTTAACTACGATTTAACTTGGTTTTAGTGATCATTTTTGCATAGAATCGCACAAAGCAGACAATCCAAGCGAAGCAAATAAATAAAAATTCAAATTGACTGACACCGAATTGGCGATAACCGAACAATAATAATGAAAAAAAGTTAAATGCTTTTGTTGTGCTCGAACTCAAACTAAAAAGCTTGGCAAAAGTTTTCACTAAACTGCAAAATAAAATACATAAGAGCATAAAAAAAGCATTGAAAACAATGTCAATTCGATGCACATAAAAAGGAGAAAAGTCTGGAGGAATCTCATAAAGAGGTTAAACGAACATAGTGAATAGATATGCAGGCACCGATATATGAGGGCACAGACAAGTCAACAAGCCAACAAACCATCACAATTGTCGTGCCAGTCAACAGACAATCTCTCAGTTGACCGTATAAACGTCGCAGTAACAAATTTATAAACACAACCAACAGACAAAGCTAAAGTAGAAATTCACACTAATTCCTTTGTGGTGAGGCAAAAGGATAAAAATAGTTTTGCAATAGAAATCGGTTTGAAGGATACACAGCCACGTTGTGATTGCATCATTGGTTGTGGCGACAGAGTTTACTTTTGCCATTTGCTATTGATATTTTTACAATGGCTGAGATAAAAAGACTTGCTCTCACCACACTTTGTCAAGTGCATATCCCGTAGCTTGTGCACATATCATCTATAAAATGAAAATAAAAACGAAAGGTTAACATTGTAAAATATGCACTTGTTTGGGATTTGAACTGAGTCCTTTGTAAGTATTTGATAAGCTGGTCGAACGTAGTAAAACGCGAAAAAAATAGCCTCTTTCGTTGCTATACGTTTCCTAGACTCGAAAATTACTCTTCTTTTCAATGTTTTTTAGTTCGTTTTATTTGTTTTTTATTGAAAGGCATTGCAAGGACTTAAATAGTTTATGACAAATACCTGTCACTCATGTGATGGTATTCGCTTAATATTTGTCATCTGTATTGTATATAGATCAATGTTTTACAAACACAATGGCTTTTTGCCTCATCACCTATGATTTGAAAAAAAATGTTTAAATTAGTTCGATTTTCAAAATAGATGGTAAAAAAAACTTTAATCTTGCTGAAAGAAACAGGGTTCACTTAATATGGATCCCAGTACACAGCAGATATGAGAGAAATGACAACGCCAATAAACTAGCCAGAAACGGGGCTGTTCTTTAAATACAAGGAATCACAGAGCAATCGTTCTTATTTGTTTCTAATATAAACTTTCTACACCCATTGAAACCTTATTTAGCAAAAAGTAATTTTAAGCTGAAGTATCTAATTTTCAACAAATATGTTAAATAGAAATAGAAATAGAAATATATATATGGATGTTCACATCAATATAAATGCTTATAAAAATTTTCTATAAAAAATACATGTACTGTAATTTAAACAAAAGGAGATGATCAATAATAATAAACTGATTAGAAACCACAATGAATTAAAACCAAAATATTTTCGTAATATGTTATATTATATTCTTCCAATCCATTGCAAAAAATGAAAACTACCTACTTAACCAATATTGTATAATCTAGATTCAGATATGCAAAATATAGCAACAATAGGTTAAGTCTGGGATAGGAAAACCCAATTCCATTTATTAGTTAAGTTAGAAGTATTAACGTAATCTTCGTAATACTTTTTCTGGATTGAATTATTATAATGGGAGTACTCCCATGTTTCTTTCACTGCCATATAAATATGTACAATATGAATATAGATCCAAATGTTGGCATTATATTGAACTCTTCTCTTTTTTGATGTTAATAAATTTAAAAGATATACAGAGGACATTTGAGCCGCAGTTAAGCAGATGCCATCTTCTTATGCATCAAAACAAATTGCCTAAAGCCACCTAAAACTATGCTTCAAAATGTTTAGTTAAGTAAGACAGGAACATTTTCTATTACAACAGGACGAATACACATGCAGATTAATCCTTTTCCTATGTGTAGGGTTTACTTTACGATTTTCTTGATGTGTTTCGGTTTTTTGCTATTATTTTTTTTTCTGTATAAAATTTACGATTTCAGTAGTCGTTTTATTTTCATTATTATTTACCATTTAATTTAGTTTTCTCTTAGATACTTAAACATATATTTCAGCCTCGCTTTCAACGCTGTAAAACTTTTTAAGCAAAAGTTTGCCAAAATTTATGCAGTTTACGTTGTTGTTAATGCCACTACATCTTTACAAGTCGCTAACAACGTCTCTTTGAGTACGACTTGTTAAGTCTTTTGAAAGATGAAGTTCATATTCTCATATACAAATAGACGTATTCAACACGACGAGAAAAAGTCTGATTAATGCTAAAAGTTTTGAAACTGCTTAACTGAAATTTAATGTCTGCTCCAACAAATTCTTTACGAAATAATAAATTATTTATAAGTTTATTAGTTTAGAACGAAATAATATTAAATATAACAAAACAGAAATTGGAGTTATTATTCAGATGATTTTGTAAATTATTATTAAAATGCAATATAAATGTACAAAGAATGAAAGATCTTTTCTACTTGATTAAAATACTTGAGTTATTATAGCAGCAATATAACACTAGTATACAACTCTAAAATGGAAGTGAAATGGAAGGATGTGGAACTTTCGTCATTATATACAAAATAATTTCAAATTTACATTACCGTAATTTAAAGAAGAGCGTCGAGTGTTTCTAAGCAAAGCAAATCTTTGATTGATTTCTGGCTGACGTAAAACCAAAAATCACCCACCAACATGCTTAAGTCTAGATCAATATATGCCCGCACAGTGACTCAAATGCTATTTTGATACTCTTTTCTCACATTTTTTTTGTCTCGGATGGGAAATATGAGTATTCAATAACAGAGACCTCGTTTTTTATTAGACAACCAAAAATCAATTAAAATAAATTATTTCCTTAAAAAAAAGATAAAACCTTT